CGTAATACGATTCATATCAGAAAAGTACCATCAAGATCGGAAAATAAACAGCCTGAACCATTAGCACAAACACAAAGTACTGCGTTGGTTCCAGATCAACAAGAAATGAGAGATCTACCAGATTCAAATGTTGTGATTTATCCTAATATGATTCGTTATGAAAGAATATTAAGAGCTCCTTAAGGAGAACACCAATTCCTACCTTATTACAGGATATCCCTTTTCGTGAGAACCAGAACATAAAAAAAATACTGAAAAGTTCAATAAATACAATCACATAATGTCAGATCATCTTCGTCTTGCAACGCACTCCCTTCAGACTGGAGTTCAGAGGACTTGGCGGTAATTTCATGCTGCTCACTCACATAATTGAGACACGAATGCCCCTTGCAGTGGGCAGATATGGCTGAGCAATTGAGCCCGACTTTTTTACAGGAGCATGCATTCTTGCACCCTTTATGCAGGCGCAGGAAATGGAATTGAGCAATTCCTCGGGTGCTGAAGGCTCATTGCTTCAGATGGGTCTCAAACCAACTGGGGCGGATTTCCATCCCCATTACTCTGCATTGATCTGCCTGTTCCTCTATATCTGCACCTGCAAGAACGCACTGAGAGAATGCTGGCGAATAACCAGTTCACTTGAAGGTAACAATGCCAAGTTGAAAGAGTTTTTCGACAGAGCTCTTTGAAATATTTGGAATCTTAGTTGGTTGAGAGGTAAGCCTCTGCTGCCTAAGTAAAATGCAGCAATGAACTTCGCTCCCGCCTTAGCAGCCTGGTCAGGTGTGGCAGTATGATCGAGAAAAATCAAGACAACATTCAGGAGGTCAGGTTTTTGGCAAGGGTGTTCATGCATTGTACCTTGCCTTATCGGAAAAATCGAGAGATTGTGTCACAGCCGCTGGCTGGATGATTTGACCCAAAATGTCACCGCGTTTAAAGGATTTTTCTATCAGAGAGCCTGAAAGAAAAATGTACTATCTTGTCAGTGACAATTTGTATTGAAAAAGGTTTGGAGGAGAGAAATAAAGGTATATAGATACAATATCAAATTTTCACTTTACGTTGAACGTTTCGGGAACGAATCTGTTCCTGTTTTCAAGAACATAACAACCAGAAGGGAAAAATCAAGGAATCTGCTTGCATTCTTCTGACCGGAGACTATAGCATTCCTTCTTGTCTAGTCGATATAGATAAAACATGGTATTCACTATTGGAATCTGAACATGAAAATGGTAAATTCAAGATTAATTAACGAAAACATTCTGTAACTCATTTGATGCCAACATCATCAATTGTCACTGAGAGCTGAAAAGTTTCAAGACAGATACGAATTTGCTATTCAAATAACCATTTTTTATGTTGTCCCGAAACGTTCAAAGCTAAGTAGAAATTTGATATTTCTTCTATATACCTTCATTTCTCTTCTCTAAATCTTTTTCAATACTAATTGTCACTGAAAAACTAGTGGATTTTTCTTTTAGACTATCTGATAGGAAAATTCTTTAGACGCAGTGACATTTTGGGGCAAATCATCTGATTTGTCTTTACTACACGTATATTGAAATAATATTCATATTTTTATTTTATAGAAACGAGGAGAGAAAATCCCCAAAAATCTGGAATAATGAATGTACTACCTCCTCGATTAATCTACAGACAGTATTTAAAATCTGTGATATTTGAGCTACAAATGAGAATATTTCTGGTCAGTAGTACAAATTATCACATTTTTCGAAAAAAAAATCTGTTTCTCGAAAATCTGGAAAGATAAGAGGAAAATTGCGAGAATATTTCGAAGAATATGCTTGAGAATCATGAAAATATGCTTGAAAAAAATCTCAAAAATGTTCTATCAAATTGGGAGTATGGAGTATTTTTCAATATTTTGCAGCTGTTTGTTTGTCGCCCTGTATAGCCACCACCTGATACCATGTATTTTCATCAGCGGTCTATCTGTCATATACCCAATGGATCAATCTTCAGAATAAAGAAAACCGCATCCGAATAAGTGGAATTTTCGCGAAAATATTCAATGTTGATTTTAGAGCAAAAATGTGCTTGATGCGGTTCGATTGATCAGCAGTTCAGTTTTCTGTTTTTTGGACTGCTTATCAAGGTTTGCTGATTGCCCTTTCCAGGTTTTATTAGAAAAAGGTTACCAATTAACTGTAATTGATCCTCGCTGTTGAATAATATTTGGTCAGTCAGCAAAACTATCAAATCTGTGTCCTCCCTTACGATGAACAATTTTCCTTCATGCCTCGATATTTCCACTGCAGTAGCCACAATCATGGTATCTGCATCCTCAACAGCCCACCTGACTTGAATTCTTGCACCTATCAACTCTCCTATGAGAATCGTGATTAGGGGTTTCTTGTTGTCTTCGTTGGCAAGGAATCGTTCTTTCGGCATCGTTGCAGTAATTGATTCATCAAACATCACTAGAGCAGATGACATATATGGTTCGAGCTCTACGGGTTCTTTCAGCTGACTTGGTGCTTTTTTCGGAAGACTCAGGATACCCATGGAAAAGTTCAAGAAAGTGAAAAATTTCGAGTTGAGACGAAGTTTCCTGCGTTGGGCTGTTTTAGCGAAAATTTGGCGCTACGACATTTTTTGGTTTAAAATCCATATCTCAGCACTGATGTGGGCAAATTGCGAATTTCAAGAAGCATCTGATTAGATCTCCTGTAACTCCGGTTCAATGATATTTTCCAATCGGAGCTATCATTTCAGACCTACAGGCGTTAGAAGTTGAGGGATGTCAAAAAGAAAAGAACAGCATTTTCTGTAGGATGCGTTCTATCCGAATCGTAAGGGGAAAACTGAAAAAAGTGCCGAAATTTCAGGGTTTCCGACCTCTCAAACCGGAAGCACAACCTAGAAATCGTTGCAAAACTCATATACCCGTTATTCAGGAATCAGGACCCCCAAGGGGGATTCTTACTATTTCAGCTCTCGAGGAATTTTTGGGGCTAGAGCTCTTTTTTGCGCTTCGTTTGCTGGGCGTTTCTTTCAAATCGATTTGTTGTGAAATGTCATCTGAAGCAACTTTTTTGAATAACTTTTTTTTAATATTTCAAAAAATGGTAAACCTTATAATAGCATTCTTGGTTCTAGGCCTTGCAGTACTTTTTAATGAGGAATGACTTTTTTCGTGAAATAAATAATAAAAGAGTTTTCCATATGAATCGATCTTGAAGACATTGTTAATAATAATAAAACCGAATTTTCAGCATTGATAGACGTAATTAAATATTTGAACGAAGTTTTCAATTCAAGTCAACTCTACTAAAAAATAATTTTCGATTTGATGAAAATAAATGTAAGTACTTTCCTCTTGAGCAAAACTAGTATACGGTATACGACTGAAAATATTTGATATATTATGATATATGTTGCAGACATACTATACCAGGAATCAATTCATCCCCTCCGTATCTTCGTTGCTATTTTGTATGGATGTTCAAAATTTGGTAGATCGATTTAATTTCATGAGTGTGAAATTTAGCTTGAATCAGATCGAATATGACACTTCCGGTTTTCTTTTTTTCATCTCGAATACAAAGTATTTTTTTCTGGAATTTATGATTGAGTATAAAATTACCTTCCTAACGATATATCACAATCATATTTCAAATCCACAATCTACTCATAGAATTGAGATTTTATAAAAAAATATTTTTTGTATTTTCCTCGTAACTTGTAGGAAAATTATCAAACTAAATATTTTGATGCGTCAGAACTTGTAGTTTCAATAATAATTCTCAACCCATGAAACAAATTCAATATCGTAGCCAACTTATATCATGTTGAATGGTTCAATACAATGTAAGTAGGTATATCATATGGAGATTATCTTCATCAAAACTGAATAGGAAACTGAAAATTGAATTTTTTCTCGTCTTGGATTTCGTAACCAACTCAAAAAATTCAATAATAGCAAAAAAAATGAATTTATTGAAGTTGAAAAATGAAGGAAAACTGAAATTGTAAAAAATATGTATTGTGCATAAAAATTATTGTGAAAAATTCGAGATCGAATTATTGGTACTTATATGCTGTTGTTTCATTATCAATAGCACACATTCATGAAAATATTCCGAGGAGAATGTAAAAAGTATTTTTTTTGTAAAATTTCAATTAAGTATATGACTAGAATGTCGATCGAAAATATGATTGTGATATATCGTTAAAGAGGTGATTCTATATTGTTCTCTACACTCATGCAATCAAATCGATGTATTAAATTTGTAACATCCATTCAAAATAGCAACGAAGATACAGAGGGGTGAATTGGTTTAGGGTCTCCCGGTAGCATATAAGCACAACGTTCATGGCAAACGTAGTGTATCTACGCATTCTGATTGGTTGATGTCAAATCACAGTACACATTGCCATACAGACGCCAAATAAATGTACATTTTGCTACCGAGTTTCTGCTCGTCAAATAGCAGTACGAATTGCGAAAAGATGTAGAAGATTTGGCTCTAGTGAAGCTTCTGTCCAAAAATGTTTAGCTCGACTTCAAAAAGTCACCATCAGAAATGCATGGGACAGTTGTTTATGTACGGCAGGATCCAGTATTCCTTCAAGGCGTTGTCGTACGGCAACCAACAACCATTGCCAGAAGAAGACCTGCTATTACAAGAAGTAATAAAGAGAAAACGCAAAATCACATGGCAGTGGACACTAGGAACTAATAAAATACATGTTTTTAGAACCAAATCTCCAAGATACATTCTCATGCACTTTTACTTTACTGCCATAACGTACACGGCGCTGACGTGAATCTTGCAAAATGTACTGTTATCTGGCATACACATGCATTTTCAATTCACAATTCACTTCCGTTTGCCATAGCCATGTACGTTATTGTGCTTATATGCCGCCCGGTATATTACCGATATTTTCAATATCGATATATATTTTTCTCAATCATGAGTGGAGCATGTTTTCCCATATCACCGGCTGTTTTCAGCACAGTCAATGTTTACAAAGCCTTCCTGGAACTGGAAAAGACCACCTGTAGATACGCCAGTGGGGACATGCATATCTCCTGGATGAGAGACAGGAGAGTGCGTAGTAGGCCTTTCCCGACAGATGAAAATCGTCGGCCGGGTTCTCGGTTTTTCAGTTGTTTTCAGCGCATAGACAGAGCATGCACATCATGGGACTGATCCACCAGGCTTGCTTGAACCTACTTGTTGTGGCCCTTCTGGTTGTTCTGGCTGCAGCTATACCGACTTCTCTGGTGGACGAAATCAAGTCGAGTGAGCTGAGGAATAATAAGGGTAAGAGATCTTGTATATCTGGAACATATATAAATATCATGGATCTTACTTGGTGGATCATTTTGTCATGTTTTTTTGTATGTGGATCATTTTGTCATGTTTTTTTTGTATGTTGATACATTATTGTGTTGGTAAGCTCATGCAGACAGATTCAATCTCAGAGGGCTTTCTGAATTTATTGCGTAAAAATAATTATAAGAAGACAAAGCAATAAAAGCCCCAAAACCCGTCGACCAAGAAGAAATTGTTTAATATAAGTAGTGTAACTAGTTTCGGCCACAGGCCATCATCAGACACAAAAATGATGCATTCGGAATTACCTGAGAGATAATTATGGACATTGTTAAGGAATTAGGTACTTCCGAACACATCATTTTTGTGTCTGATGATGGCCTGTGGCTAGTGATTCACACGAGACCAACGAGACGAGACTTTCATAAAGTCTCGTCTCGTCTCGCCGATGAAATATGAAGTCTTGTCTCGAGTCTCGTCTCGCAGCCCCAAGTCTTGTCTTGTCTCGCGTCTCATACGAGAGTCTCTCAAATGTATCGCAATTTCGTCATGCATAATCTTGTTTCAGTCTAGTACGGGATAATTACCTTTACCTACTTTTTAGGTATAATGTAGAAGTAGGAAGAGAAGATTACTACAAAAATAACATTATTTATTGAAAAGCAAGTACCTAATAGGTACATATATAATTACATAACCCATCTAAACAAGAAAAAACACCATAGCGTTATATATTCGAAAGTTATAAAAATAAAATAAAAAGTAACACGTATATTCTAAACAAATAAACAAAACAAAAACTTTAATCCAACATTATTTTACTCATTTGAGAAATAGGTATCTAAGAAAATAGTTATTTGTTTTACTAGGCAGAAAAGTAGTCAATCTACATTTGCTGCCGTGTCAAACATAGAATTTTTTCTCCAAATGATATAAAACCAATTTTGTGTAATTTTTTTATTGAAAACTCCATCATTTTGTGTTCACCCAATGTGAGTGTCAATTTTGATTACTAATTTCATTAGAATTTCTTGAAACGTTGCATAGCAACAAACTTTTTCTGCCTAGGCAGTGAAAGTACACTTTTTCTGCCTGTTAAGCGGCAGGAAATAGTAGATTGTTTTATTAGGATCAAAAGTGACACTTTGTTTGACAAGCGAATTTTGCATTTGCGAGGCGGAGCGTTTAGCGAAGCCGAGCGAAAGCAAAATTTGCGAGTCGAACAAAGTCACTTTTGATCCGAATGAAACATGCTATTTTTTCTGCAACCGAAACAATTAACCCAAATAAATATGTGAAGTTACCACCAATGCCGTGCCATATGTATGCAATGCAACAAATATTGACAAATAATCCGTGTAGTGAGAACATTCTACCTGCATCAACAGCAGGTTCATTCAATTTTCAAGGATGTTCGAATTGTAGTTTCAATATAAGTACAATCACAGAGTGACATATTTGTGTATGGACCAGTGCTCTAATAGCAAATACCGCGCCAGTGCCAGCTATAGGAACAAGACGTGGAAAATGTTAGGTTAATGAGCATATCAACAATGATAATGGCGATTATTTACTCCTCTCTATAATACAATGTTTTTCGTTTAATAATCAAATGAAGCTAAACAATATCGTTGTTTGAGACAAAAAACTATTGCTTGCCGTGATTATTCAAAAACAAGTTATCCATCCCGAGAATAACGAATGAAATACAGATCAAGCAAGTATTTGAATCTTGAAGGCTTCCCTGATCAAACAAGAATACTTAGCTGAGATGTTTATAATTCCAATACTAAACTATAGTAAGGTGTATTTATATCTCCAGCATTGGTATGAAATTCCAAATCTGCTGAAATCGGAAACAAATCAGGTATGCATCTCAACCCAAATGACCAACCGTCACAATGTTGTTCATTCTTGATGACGTCCAGTACTTCGTTTTTAGTTCCTAGGAGCTAAAGTTCAACTTTAGCTCCTAGGAACTAAAATTCAACTTTAGCTCTTAGGAACTAAATATGTTGCCTAGCAACCTACTTTTTTTTGTGTCAGTAATAGAAACGTCAATTTAAGAGCTAATTTTGGTATCAGAATGGACGACTTTTGTGTCGGTTGCAGAAAAAATACTTTTGAATGAATATTTTCAATATCCGAACGTATTTAATACTTAATATTTAAATACTTTTTTGAATCGACCACTTTGAGAAATATGGATGGTTTCCACGATTCAACAATAATTAGAAAATGCTGGATATTTTGCATATCTCTCATATGCGCCTTTCACGTCGCTATATCTTCGATAACTTTGGAAGTAGAGATGTGTAATTTGCAGGAGTGATATACACTGCTCATCAGCCATGGAATACGCACATGAGTGCGTTAATAATGTAGTATCCCACGGGATGCGTACATTATTTTATCAACAACTGACAACGTTTTCATAACTATCTCTTCTGATAATTGAAAATACAAGTTGCCTGTGATCATTTTTGTAACCGTAGCAACGGTATGCTTAAACAAAGCCGTTTATAGATGTTGAATTAAATTGTCAGATCGATATCCAGAACCATCCAGAATTTTCTTTGTATTCATTCAATAAACGATTTATTTTGGTTGGAATTTAATTCTCATCTCATTACCGCACTAGTGCGATAATTAACGTCATTATGACATTCTAAAAAAACTTTCTGTATTCTCACATTTTTTCCATTTGTAACCTACCTAATTAGAAATGATAAAATGCTGGTTATGACACTTCATACTGAATCCTTCATTGAACCAAGACAAGTTAACGCTGTTAATGAATATCTTGCTATAATTACAGTCTAGGGAACCAACGAACTGGTTGAATTCAACGCCACCAAAACACAAACCTTTATTACCGTTTTAGAATACTGTTACGTTATTCGGGTGCAGAAGCGAACACGACACTATTTATTTTCGAACTGATTTATTTGAACTGAAGAAACACTAATTTATATCGAACTTATAACTACTATTTATGTGAAACGATTTATATCACGCGGTATATAACTGTCTCTCTGACACTCGCTGCTTAACTGACTGACTCAGTTGTTCGGCCGTCCTATATATGAGAACACATGGCAGGCTTTGGTTCGAGAACGTTCTCGAATGATCTTCCGTCTCCTTCTTTTTGTTCTAGAAGCTTCTTAGAACAAAACCTCTCTCTCTCTCTAATTGTTCCATCGATTGTTTCCAGAACATTCCAGATTCTTCTGTGACGTCATTTGTCACTGCGGCATATATTGAGTGTTCGGAAATATGCTGGTGTATGTAGGAATCATTGAGAGGTTGGAGAGCAATCTGGGATGCGTGATACAGGATTATCGTTGTACTCCTGCCTTCCTGCTGATGTTTCTAAAGCCCTCCTGGAATGCACTCTGATCGTTATAAAGATAGGAACAACTGGTTTCATTTTTACAACGTGCAGTATGGTAGAAATAGCATGGCACTGTCTTCTCTCTTGGAGTTCCTTTGGAGTTCCAGCAGCATACCAGAATTTCAACTCCGGTGAATCTAAATGAAACCTCTAGCTATCCAGTCCACACCCCACACCCCAGCTTTGGAACAGCTATCTTCTGTATGTCCTTCTCGAGTATGGTGCATCACAAGTCGACTAGCGTCTCCCAAAGGTCCTTGTAAGTGGGTTTCTCAGAAGATCTTCCTTTCGTTATAAGATAAAACAGAGACCTTTTTCCTTCAGCGCTGATATCTTCTATTTCTAGTGCTCGACCGACGGAGGGACCTTGTTGATGAAGCTCCTCTAACTTCCCGAACTTCCTCATGAACTTGTTCGCTATTCCTTGAGACATCTGAAGATCCTCGGCGACGCAGTGAGCTAGTGCGTATTCTACAGGAATGGCAAAAAGGTCGCGGTGCTCTTCCTTGGTGACGCCAAACCTTACGTTTGATGAACCACTGTATGTCCCAATGAATTCGTCGAATGTAAGCTCCTTTTCTTCCGGACAAATTTGTTGAACTTGTTGATCCTGTGTTCCCTATTGGTATCTCAAGGTTTTCTTGTTTATAGCAGCCCCTCAACACTCAATTCTTTCAGGAATCTGAGGATTTTGAAGGGATCTGATTGTGGTATTTCTTCCACGGTCAGCTGCGGTATGCTCCCAGTATATTCGATCTATTGTGGTGTACAGCGAAACACTCCAGCAAGATGTGGTGGGGTGTTTCTGGATGTTGCCCGCAGAGTCTGCAGATGCTTTCCTACTCTAAGCCAACACTGAGAAAAACTGGTTAATTAAAACGTCTAGTTGGTATTTTTTTAGTACCGGTAATTAAAAATATTTGGAATTTTATTAACAATGACAACGTATCCCTATTTCCTACAAATGACTTTTCTATTTTTCGCCAATTATTTGTCATCAATAAAAATACTATTTCCCAGTCAACACACGGACATTCGATGGACATCCATTGGACGTCCATTTAGGATATTTGGGATATCCAGAGAATATCCAGTGATATCCGATGTATATCTTATGGACGTCCAATGGACGTGCCGAGTGGAAGGAGTTGGACTTCTATAGGATATCCTTCATGGACATCCATAAGACATTTTTCAGGGATATCCATAAGATATTGTTCACAAATATCCATAAGACATTTTTCAGAGATATCCATAAGATATTGTTCACAAATATCCATGAGATATTTTTCAGGGATATTTACTAAATATCCTTAACAATATAGAACACCATGTATATTATTCCATAATGAATTAGGAACTATTATAACGAATTCAACGGTACCGGATTGGATAGGGTTATTTCAAACGATTACGAAGATATTTGCATTGGAAGTTTTCATATGCTCATTGAGGATATGGAAATGTGAATATCTTCCTAATCGTTTGTAGAAATCCTATCAAACACAGTATCGTTGAATTCGTTATGATAATCCTTAACCGATTATGGAATAAAATACAGGGTGTCCCGTTTGAAAATGCCATCCTCGGTTAA